TGTATCGAGGCACGAGGAGACTTTGTTTGTCAATGCTCAACATCAGATGTTTCTTTATGCAGGTGAGTGACGTTAAGGCTAATCTGAATCAAATTGGTTTTGATATAAACTTAATCTATGAGATGGTGTCTGGACTGGTAAGTACATTGCTTGACAAATTGTATCAATATGGAAGTGCTAGTAAAAAATCTGCTGGCTAGTCATTTTGTAATTTTTCAGTTGTTGCTCAATTTGGCAGGAAGGGAAGATTGAGCTTCTTGAGAGTAAGCAGGTGAATATCTGGATGTGTTTGTAACATGCTATTTGCCCCTTTTCCTATGTTCTGTCTATTGTTATTGCAGTTGCTTCACAAGTTGTGCTCGTTTATCTTGCCCCACCCCACAGGATGTGACTAATTCTGGTTTGTGGTACTTGTGCCAAGTTGCTGGGGGCATTAAGGATGGTGAAAATCCTAAAGTTATTCAGGTATTTTTGTGTTCATATATGAAAGCCTTTTGATTATTGTTGTTCTTCCTCTTTGTTCTCTTTTTCCTCCCACAAGGAAAACAAGGAGCATCTTGAGGCTTTTCTTGTCTTTTCTCCATTGCGTTTTGAATGCTTGCTTGCATGTTTCTATCGCATTTTGAATGAGTGTTTGCATTTCCGATTACTGTTGTGATCTCTGGTTATCACTGTCTTTTCCATTCTGCCGACCATTGACTTTCTCCTTTGGTGCTTGGAAAATTATCCTGTTAGATTACTCGAAAGGTCTTTGTAATTGATCTAAACCATAAAGACTGTAATTATGCACTGCTAAGAATAACTTTGGCGTCTTTGCATGATATCTGATGTTATTGGTTGAAATAAAAACAATCTCTTGGAAATTTTTGATGTTTATTACTCCCTACTTTTTGCTGGCTATGCATTAAAATAGATCTGCAGTTTTGCTGTCTCTTACTTTGTGGGAAAATATTCTACTTGTCCTTCATTGTTCATATTTGTTCAAAATGTAAACATGTATTCTTATTTTGGCAATTGGAATTCCGAAAAGGGCATCGAGGCTAAACTGATAGAGCATTCAAAGGTGACTCCCAAGGAAAACTGGGTGAAGGTACATTGACTCTCTGGAACGAGATTAACTGGGTTTGTTGTCCATTCAATGGTTCACAAGGTCTAATCAAACGATTTATTATAATTCAGGGGCTTGAGTTCATTGCTGAATCTAATGAATCAAGCGTGCCACCAAAATCGGTTACTGATACAGAAGGAAAAGTTCTTAGTGACAATTCTGCTAAAGGTCCAGTTGCTAGCAAAATGAGGATTCACAGATCTTATCCTGTTGGGTTGTCTTTAACAAGGAACGTGTTGGGTCCAGGATTCTGATCTCAGTTTTTCCTCTATTCACAGTTAGATTACTTGGATGTGATTACCCAATTCTTTTCGTTTATATTGATCCACAGCTGATTGATTTGTGCGCCTGTGGTCGTCGACAACATTATATATACATGGTTGTCTTGTTTGGTGTTTTTCCCCCCCTTCATTTTAAACGTCGTATAAAGCTGTATTTGTAAAAATATAATAAATGCACCTCATTTTGGTCATAGAAATTTTGTAAAACTGTGCTAAAAACTGGCTTGAACCTCGATAAAGAGAGAAAGATAACGCCATTGCTTAAACCCCTAGGCCAAGATAGAGAATGGATAATGAGCACTCAGATTAGTGGTGGCAAAATGGTTAAAAGAAAATTATTATTCACTCATATTATCCATTAAAAAATGGGTTGGATAATGAACCTTTTAAAAACGGGTCAAATATGGATAAGAACCATATTATCCACTTAGAAAATGGATAACCAAGTGGATAACTAATGTCTAATTGGTTTAACTTTACATTTGTAAAGCCTCAAATTGGGGTTTTCTCTAGTTTGGAAGACTTGAATTTTTTCCAAAAGTGATCATATTCAAGAAGCCATAGGTAATATGAATATTCTTATTATCCGTCGGTTAATCCGTTTTTTATCCGTATTAAACAGGTGTCGGGTCGGATAATTTACCCGTTTTTTGCGTAAAAATAGCACGGTCTAGCCAGTTTTCGGACTGGTCATTCAAAAATAGCCAGCGTTTACCAAGTCAATAAAAAATAGTCACTATTTTGCTGCAACTGAGACCGGTTCAGCATAATATATTGGAGTTCGGTGCACTGTGTATGAACTTCCAGCATATTATGCTGGACCGATATACTTTGCTGGCTCCAGTATAAGATACTGGAAAGTGGAGCACCGGTGCTCCAAACTCCAGTATATTATGCTGGACCAGTATATTATAGAAATAATTACAAGAAAATACACATGACTTCACACCATAACAAGAAATGCCCCATGTTTTTAAGTTTTACCCGACCTAGCTCACATTGTACATATTTTGAAAGCATTAGCAAATTCAAAATATGTGTTCTTACAACCATTGCTTCTAAAAACTATGGAGTTAAATCTATGTTCTCACAACCATTGATTTCGCTCTCACTTTTTCTCACATCTTCTACATATGCTTCAAGGGGCCGTGTATTTTCTGCTTCTCCTCTTGTGTCACCTGCTTGTAATGTAAGAAAATTGAAGAGTATAAGTCCACCATTGAAGACCATTCAAAGCTTTACTTTCAAAAATATTTTTTTTTTAAATTTGTTAGTTGTTTGGATTGAGTGTTGTTCCAATTGATTCAAAATATCAAAAGGAGTTCAGAATTTAAATTTGAAGTTATTTGGAGTAGATTTGAGCAAGATTTGAGTTAAATTTCAGAAAAGACGCAATGAAGAAGACGAAGTCAGTTTTTTGTATAATTATGTATAATTTTGTGTTTAGTGTATATGAGCGTAGAAACATACCTTATACACTATTATACATTTTTATACACCTTTATACAAGCGCGTGTTGACGAACTTCTTCCACAATTTTCAGTTGCAATTCTTGTTCAAAACTAGTCCAAATCTCCATTAAATGACTTCAAATTTTATATACAACCTTCTTATACTATTTCTAACAAGTCTAAATAACACTCACTTCAAATTTTTCACAAAATCAAATTCGGAATTTAAACCCACATATTTAACCTTGTTAAAAATCTAATTTTCACCATCCAAATGAATTTGGTTTGTTATACTAATATTTGAGTTACAGTTACTGATTTGAAAATTAATTTAAAAAGTTGAGAAATCTTTTTTATGAGAACCTATTGGAATTGGATGTTGAATCTTAACCTATTATTTTTGGGCTTGTTGGTTGTAAATTGAAATATGGGCTATAAAATTGAAAAGTAGGGAGCCCACTTGGTCTAATGTGAAATTTTTCCTATATTATACTGAAACTTCAATATATTATGTTGGAGTATTTTTCCGGATTTTGAACAGTGTTTCGTTCAGATTTATCTTTACATGAAAAGTGGCTAATTTCGACTACTTTTAAAATTGAGCTATTTTTGAACAACCACTTATAAATCTGGCTATTTTTAAATTTCACCCGTTTTTTGCATTACACATTTCAACACGTCTATATCCAACCCACCCGCGCCGTTTGCCACCCCTAACTCAGATCATCGGTGCCAACTAGTTTGAGAAACCAGTAGGCCAAGGTATAATGAGCATTCAAATCATCAGTACCAACTCGTTTGAGATAGACGCATATTGTCATTCCCCAACTAATTTGGGATTAAAGCATAGTTGTAATCTAACACAAATATTAACAATCATCATATGGCTAAGTTCGGCAAAAAAACCAACAAAAATGTCTCAAAATTCTCAATCGATGGTACAAGTACATTTGACACATTCTTGGATAGCTCATTTGTCCCTTCTTCTTCTTCTTCTTACTTTGCAACATCTCGCAAAATCAAGTCGAAGAAAGAACTACAACATTCCGAGAAAAAAACAGATCTAAGATATTCAAACGGTCTGAAGAAATTGAAACATTACCTCCTGAAACTATCTCTTCTTTTTACCCCCCTTCCCAGATTTTGAAGAACCAGCTGCAGAAGAGGATGCAGGCTCCTGCTTCTTAGTCCTATTAGGATGTCTCCGGACCAACTCTGCAACATGGATCATCAGCTGTTTCCCTGCAATATACAACAATACAAGTATTAAAGCTGGTTGAAATTAGCTTTAACAAAAACAAATTACTGGATATCCTTAAATACCACAAACATCAATAAAAGCTAACTGTATCACATGTACTTTTTCTGACGAGCACAACCGTGTTAGTGATGTTACTCGATTTCTTTCAGAACACGATGACATCTGTCATAATTAAAAACAACCTCCATACGTGCGCAATGCCTCACATAACTAGAGGATGTCAATTATTTTAGATAAGCCAAAAAGATTCATGAATAAGAAACCAAGTTGATGTCAAGGAAAAAAATAAAGAAGAAAAAAGAACATGTACAAGAAGTGCATGTGGCTCTCAATTGAATTTATACAAGTAGGAGTTGCTGGGATACTCCCCAAGGATAAAGGTTATTATATCTTTCTCATGCTTTCACATTGAAATACTTTTAATGCCTGAGACCCGAATTACACCAGTATCACAGAAGCTCCTTCACAGCCAATTTAGAATCTTAAGCCAAAAATTAAGAAAGCATTTCCCAATTTCTGGCAGGGAAAAACAGTCCAACAAATTTCTTGTTATGCTGCTAATGTCCGCAATTGATAGATACACAAACTGCAGTAGAAAAGATCAATAAAATCTCAAATGGCGCAGCCGTATTTGCAGTAGGTTTCATATGAATTAAACAGGCCCTTATCTATTTGGGTTCAGATACACCTCTATTTCCCCACTTCTATTTCTCATATCACATACCAATACCTGCAGCATAGTTTCTAGTTAACCCAGCGTTTTCTGCAGAACAAGGACATCAAAACCACTGTCTCCATTCTCTGAAGAGGAAAAATTATGATGCTAGGTTGTCATGGACTGATTGAGCTTGTCCTTTAGTTAAGTACTGATACACTAGAAATTTTACTCAAACTAGACCCTGTTTACTATCCTCAACTTCATGGAAATCCAATGACACAAATCCTGATATATACTCACGACACACTTTTGTTCATCCTCCTACTTATATGGACTTCTCACAATATGTCTTCCCCCAGATACTCTTCACGGCCATGTTTATCCTCATGCAAAGGAAAATCAATCATACCGAGGATCTAATTTCTTCTGTTTGGGTTTGTAAAAACTTGGAGTTTACATTCCTCACTATTTTTCTTGTAATTAAATAAACTTAACCTGGACAAACAACCATTTCTATTACTTAACCTGGACAAACAACCATTTCTATTCCAACTTTCCTCCTCTATAGAAGAAAGGAATCCATCAACCAAATCTTGATAAGCATTTCCCAAAGAGGGCCTTATAGAAAATGAATACACCCCAACTCCAAATTCCAATCCTTAATGAACACATGGAAGAGAAAACATATACTCCTATTCAAGTTGTTTCCAAGACCCTCCTACAAAATCATAGCCTACGACTTTCTATATAGAGTTGCCAAAGATAACATCAATTGTGAATGGTGGATATAGCTTCACAAGAATGGTATAGAACACTTTTAGGCCATAGATTAATGATGGTCACTTCCCAATTATCATTAATGTTTGGAATATTTAGCTTTTTTATCCATAAGACTTTCTTCCACAATTTAAGAGCATAGAAAACCGCAAACCATTCCATGTCAAACACATTGTTAAAGCTTAAAGAAAGCTAAAAGAAGCATGAAGTCACTCAACATATTGTGAAACTATAATGCTTTGCCAAAGTTTTTAACAAGATAAGAGGACAGAACAATGGCCAAAAAAAAAAACACTTACGGGAAGAAATGGCAGGATTGTAAGGGGTTCCATCTTCCTTCTTCAACAAAACTCTCACTCTTCCTCTTTGCATGAAATCTCGAGGATATGCCTTATCGAGCTGTTACAACCAATCAAGAATATAATTACAAACAAATTCTTTCTCAATCTTATAAGTTTGCTGATTCAAAAGTTTAAAAAACATTAATAAAACAGTATTGTTCACAATTGCCATCTTTTTCTTAATGGCACATTTCATCCTTATAGACCAAGGGTGCTCGACACATCACCACAATTAACTTCTTTCTCATAAGTAACAAGAATACTTTGTTTTTAAACAGCTTACCATCTTTTCCATGGGAGCATTAGACTGAAAAATGCTAGTAAATCCTATTCAGAAATTTGCTTCCACAAGTAAATTTTCACCCAGCCAATCATCCGGTGATGAACGTCTTTACTGGGGTTGGGGAGATTTGGTAAACTAAGTAAGAGTCCGTTAATTCCAGCTGTTATTTAAATTCCATTACCTGAACAACNATAAGTGATTATGAATTATTAAACTAGTTGCAATTAGGATTAAGTTGTTATTATTACACTTACATTCGTTCATATTGGTCTATTAGGTGTCCGTATGTAGAACTGCGAGATTTAAATAGTCTAGGGAAGTGGGAACTCTAATTTGCCTTAAAAGAT